TCCATCATCATGAAATTCAAAAAAGATCTCGACAATGGAATTTGTCCTTTCCATTCTGTATTACAATGCAAATACAGAATAACATGTGATAAACATTATTATATAACGTCAATGAAGCGTGAAAGCCAAAGTGAAAAGGGAAAAGGAATAGTATGAGTCATTTTTTGGCGCAACAACTTTGTTGTGATCCAGTGATCCACCGTTGGATAGGGCCCTCAAATCTTACGGGCTTTCACAATGGATTACACAAGTCAAGACCCTGAAACCACTGTGGTGGCATCAACCACAGCAAAACCACCTCTTCTGCAATTCAAATACCAAAGAACAGATTAGATTCAACATACCTAGAACAAATTGATTCCTAAGTCTTCTAATAAACAGACCTTTGGTGGAGGAGACTGAGGGAAACTTTCATTGTTGTAGGCAGGCTCATTACTTTGTGAAGAAACCATATTGGCAACACTTCCAGTAGTCTTCTTCTCATCTCTAGCCTTGTTAAATATGACCGTAAATCCCTCGGCAGATGCAGGATTATTTACATCCCATTCCCCGAACTTCGGCAGTGGACAACCCTTGTCCTGCTGCAGTTATGCAATGATATCTACATGAGACTTCACTAAGCATGCTACTACTAAAAACTTTGAAAAATGTTTAATGATCTCATTTACATCCCATTCCCCGAACTTCGGCAGTGGACGACCCTTGTCCTGCTGCAGTTATGCAATGATATCTACATGAGATGTTACTAAGCATGCTACTACTAAAAGCTTTGAAAAATGTTTAATGATCTTATTTACATCCCATTCCCCGAACTTCGGCATTGGACGACCCTTGTCCTGCTGCAATTATGCAGTGATATCTCCATGAGACTTTATTAAGCATGCAATTTACATGAAAAAATGTTCAATGATCTCTGCTCGTAAATGACTTCAGATAAAAAACAGCCCACAATTACTTATAGCCTACAACTCTTCTACAGATGAAAGGACTGGCAAAAGGAAGCGCAGGCTGCTTCCAACAGAATTTAAGACAGATATGGCGCATTGAAGGATGAAGTGATATATTTTTTTTTTCACTTTTTAATCTGCAAATAAGCAATATGGACAATTCTCCCTTATCTAGATCAGTATTTTCAATTTTCTATGAACTGGGAATGTTGATTGTGTTTCCTAGATGGGTTTCCTTTTGGATTACAAGAAGTTTCAATGAACAAGATTAAGGGCCATACAATAATTATAAAACTCCTTATAAACAGATCATAGAGAAACATTTAACCTAGCAAAAGACTGAGACCTTCCAATGCTGCTCACCACTTCTAAGCATTCTCCTATTCTGGTTTTCTTATACAGTGGAGCTCTAAATTTTCCACCGGATTTGTCTACGCCCAACCTATTCTATGTTCTAAAATGTTGAAATACGCAAATATTTCAGTGCAGGAATGGTGCCATGGACATGAGTTCCTATATATCCAATCTAGCAACTCCCTAATAAGGCTACCATGACTGAAAATCTAATCAACCTAACTAAATGTTCATATTTTCATGCATAAATTCTTACACTTCCCTGCTCGGATCTTGTTAAAACATACGAACAAGATTGAATTTCTAAAACGAAGGAGAAAACAAACCATGGCGATTTGTTATTTCATTCTAGAGCATTGATAGCTTCAAAGGAATCACATCTCCCTCCTTCATCTCAGCCACCATTGATTAATCAATACCTTATGTCAATAACCAAATTCTACGATTACGTCCATGTAGCCTAATCACCGATTGGTGTATGTTTAATCAACCCCTTTAGATCATCCCGATGAACATAATCGCAATTTCTTTGGGGAAACAGAGAGAAAAGTTGAATTCTTCTAATTAAAAATCGAAGATGCATAGAAATGGAGTATAAAACTTACCGGTGCCATGATCGCAGGACGCAGGGCAGGGGATCGGATGCGAGGAAACCAAAAGCGAAAAGAAAACAAATCGTCAGTGATTTCTTATCAAACCTCCAACCCTGCGAATCAAACGCCCCCAAAACAGAGTTGAAATCGAAACGACAGGCAAGATAACGTGGGATTCACGTCGTTTCAACTTCCCCAAGTCATCTCAAAAACATTATTATAATTTCTAAAATATTATATATATATATATATATATTTTTTTTTTTAACTAGTTCGAATAAATCAGACAACTAAAATTTAGATGGTTCGTACCAGTGTAGCTTCTACCCATTTTTGGAAATTATTTTAGAAAACCTTAATCGTAACTTTTATAGAAATATTTAACATCTAGTCGTATTCCTTATAGTATATTATAAGAAGGTATACGTCGAGTACATATCGTAAAAGGATTTGGAATGAGCATCTAACCACAAACAACACGTCATAGACAACATGATCATGATCCTTTACTCCTCATAAAAATTTATAATATTTGATTATCCTTTAAATTAATTTTTTTAGAAAATGAATTTGAAAAATAAATTATTTCAATGGAAACAGGTGAATATAGGTTGAAATATAAAATGACCAAAATATCCTTATGATGGTGACCAACATTTTATTTTAAAATAAAATTTTAAATTTATTAATTCGTTGTATTTAATAATCATTTTATATAATAATTGATCGAAAATTTAAAATTTTATTAGATACATAATATATTAGTTGTTAATAGATAAAGTTTTTGTTATTATTTTCTATTATAGTATTTTGGTTTTTTCTTGGGCCGACACTAGCCGTGGGCCGAAGTACAATTTCAGTGAACCGGGACCTCCATTCTCCGGTCTGTATTTTCTCTCTCTCTCTCTTGTTTTTGGTCCTAAACCCTGGGGCCTAGGAGGAGTTGAATCGGGAGTCTCAGAGAGGCAAGTTTAAAGGTAGCGAAATTTCCAAATTTTTACTTGTTTTGTTCTGAATCTTCATGTTCAATGCATCATTTGCGGATGGATTTTGGAGTGTTTGTTCTAAATTCTTCTCTCCGTTGCTATCTTTTTCAATTTGAAATTTGAACAAACAAGGTGAATTTTGAGGAATTTCGCGGTCGATAGAGCTTAACTCGAGCCTGAATTGTGAATTTGTGCCAGAAGGCATGGCATATCCAGAGCCTGCAAGTGTTGAACGAGAGGTGATGCAAGTCAACAATGCTCTGAGGAAACCGAGGATTTTACTTGCTGCCGGTGGAAGCGTAGCTTCAATTAAGTTTGGGAATCTCTACCATTCTTTCTCTGAATGGGCGGACGTTAGAGCGGTGGCTACTAGGGCCGCTTTACACTTCATCGATCGAGAATCTCTTCCTAAGGATGCTGTACTCTATACCGATGAAGATGAGTGGACTGGTTGGAACAAAATTGGTGATAGTGTTCTTCATATTGAGCTTCGCCGGTGGGCTGATATCATGGTCATTGCCCCTCTGTCTGCAAACACGCTCGGCAAGGTACATTACTTTAACCATGATGGAAATGTTTATTTCTAATCTCATTCTTCAAAATTCCTTGCTCCATTGCGAAATTGGGTTGGTCCCGAAAATGGGTCATCTTTGTAAAATCTGAATGTTTTTGTTAGGAATCACGACTCTCACTGTATGATATTGTCAACTTGTCCACTTTGAGCATAAGTTCTCATGATTTTGCTTTGGACTTCCCATAAGGCCTCATACCAATAGAGATGTATTCCTTACTTATAAACTCATATATCATTTCCTAAACTAGTCAACGTGGGACTCCCTCCCAGCAATCCTCCCATCAAACAAAATACACCATTTGTTCGAAACTTGAGTCACTTTTAGCTATGCTTTCAAGGCTCACAACTTCTTTGTTCGACATTTGAGGTTTCTATTGACATGACTAAATTAAGGGCATGGCTTTGATACCATGTTAGGAATCATGGATCTCCACAATAGTATGATATTGTCTACTTTGAGCATAAGCTCTCATGGCTTTGCTTTGGGCTTCCCAAAAGGCCTCAAACTAATAGAAATGTATTCCTTACTTATAAATCCATGATCATTCCCTAAATTAGCCATCGTGGACTCCCTCCCAACAATCTTCTAACAGTTTTCTGGTTGATTTATTTGTTCTGTTCATTCTATCTTGGTTTTTCTGTTGATGTCCTGCCTGTTTGTGTACTCCTGAACTGCTATTATGTCTATAGATGTGCATCCATCTACATTGGTAGTTTCTGTCTGTATATGTGTGTGCTACGATAACAAGGCAATCTACCTTCAAAATGATCCTAGAAACTTTTGGTGAACTCAAGAACAATCCTTCTTGAACTTGATCCTGGCATTTGCTGTTGTCCCAGATTGCTGGAGGATTATGTGACAATCTATTGACGTGTGTCGTGCGAGCATGGGACTATAACAAGCCACTTTTCGTTGCACCAGCCATGAATACCTATATGTGGACTAACCCTTTTACTGAGCGGCATCTCATTGCAATTGATGAACTTGGGATAACTCTCATTCCACCCGTTACCAAGAGGCTAGCCTGTGGGGACTACGGCAATGGTGCAATGGCTGAACCTTCCTTAATCTTCTCGACTGTGAGACTCTTTTACGAGTCACGGATGCAACAAAGTACTAGAAATGGTGATAGTTAGGACATGAAGACTTTGTCTAGAAGAGGAGATGGAAGGGGTGGTAGATTTATGCCTAATTAATAATTAAATGTTGTAGCCGTTGCTCATCATCAATCTTGTATAAAATTCCTTGTTAACCCCTTTGTGCTGAACTCTCTGTTGTGCATTATGTAGAGGCACTAGAAGCCTTGGAACCCAATTTTAAAGATTTCTGAGCTTTTGAATTGATTGACTTCATATTAGGCCACAGAAAGATCTCTTTTAAGCCCAATTTTACGGTGCGTCTTATCTAGAGGGAAACACGCTTTTTCGAAAGCGGTGGTATGATTGTCGGGCCCTCTCCTCGTTCTGCCCGCTGGCCTATTAAGTAGGATAGCAGTCTTCAGGAAAGTGCTGGCAACAACAGAAAAGAAGGGGTCTAAGTAGCTGCTGTGCCCGCCCCCTTCTTAATCAATGGGAAAGCAGATTCGGCATCCACTAGAAAAGAGAGAATCCACTTCAGAGAACCACTCCTCCACTAGGTAGTGTGTGGAATAACCAAGAACATTGATTCAATTTTTTATGGTAACAGGTTGAGCTTAGCATTGATCTGCATTGAGATGGAACAGTAAATGTACGCAGACAAATCAGGTGACTTGTTAGTTTCTCCTTGGCCCTCCATGTTTGAAGTGAATTCATAAAAGGAAATGATCCAAGAAGAGAGAGCGACGTGCATTAAAATCTCCACCCAGAAAGTGATACCGGTAGTTCAAACACTTGAAGGATCTGTCCCTATGAGCGTATAGCCCTTGAATTGCTTAATAGGCTTTTCTCTAGTCCTTTCTTCTAACATTATTGAGAAGTCCTTGAATTGCTTAATAGGCTTTTCTCTGGTCCTTTCTTCTAACATTATTGAGAAGTTATTGAAGTAGGAAAATAAAGACAATCTGTGGATTATTGGGAGTGAGTCCATTAGTATACTATTTAATGGAATATCATGGATTTATAAACGATGAATACTATCTCCATTGGTATGAGACCTTTTGGGGAAGCCTAAAGCAAAGCCATGAGAGCTTATGCTCAAAGTGGACAATATCATACCATTGTGGAAAGTCGTGTTCGTCTAACATGGTATCAGAGTCATGCCCTAAACTTAACTATGTCAATAAAACCCTCAAATGTCGAACAAAGAATTGTGGGCCTCGAAGATGTAGTCAAAAGTGACTAAAGTGTCGAACAAAGGGTGTACTTTGTTCGAGGGCTTCAAAGAAAGGGGTTGAGCCTCGATTAAGCGGAGGCTATTCGAGAGCTCCATAAACCTCAAAGGAAGCTTATAGTGTACTTTGTTCGAGAGGAGGATTGTTGAGGATTTATTGGGAGTGAGTCCCACATTGATTAATTTAGTGGAAGATCATGTGTTTATAAATGAGGAATGCTATCTCCATTGGTAATGAGGCCTTTTGGAGAAGCCCAAAGCAAAGCCATGAGAGCTTATGGTCAAAGTGGATAATATCATACCATTGTGGAGAGTCGTGTTCGTCTAACGTCATCATTATTGGATACTCAACTAATTTCTTTTTGAACTACTTGATGTCTTGGCTCCAAGATTAAAGCTCTTATTTGTGTGGTCTTCATAGATTTAACAGTATCTTTTGCATTAAGGGTAAACGAAAGCGACATCGTTTATATCAGTCTCAGCAACCTGTGAGGTGGAGAAATAAAACTGTTGTAGAGGCAAATGAAGATCTGTGAAGTATTGGTTTTGCTCCTTGTCAAGCAATGGTGGCTTTAACATCCTACAGTGCTATCTTCATTGTCTTGTGTGCTTTTGCTTCGGCTTCTCCGACTGCAAATGAGACGCATCCACGTCTCTTCAGTAAGATCTATGCCTTCGGAGATTCATTCACAGACACGGGCAACACAAGGTCTGTATCAGGGCCAACAGTATTCGGCCATGTCTCTAATTCTCCTTATGGCAGTACGTTCTTTCACCACTCGACCAACCGATATTCGGATGGACGACTGGTGATTGACTTCGTAGCCCAGACATTGTCCTTGCCTTTCTTGACACCTTACAGATATTTGAAGGGCAATGAGTCCTTTCATGGGGTGAACTTTGCTGTTGCAGGATCCACAGCTATAAACCATGATTTCTTTGTTAGAAACAACCTTAGCCTTAACATTACTCCTCAGTCTATCCAAACTCAGCTACTTTGGTTCAACAAGTTCTTGGAGACTCAAGGACATAGAGGGGCAGCTGCTTTTGATGATGCTTTGTTTTGGGTTGGTGAAATTGGAGTCAACGATTATGCTTATAACACCGGATCGCCTATACCAGATGATACCATCCGTAAGCTCGGTGTTGCCAGCGTTACTGGAGTCTTACAGGTACATGACTTGACCTCCATGGAGTCTTTTAAGCTCTAAAATATTAGAAACTTACTTGATATATGAGAGAGCTTACAGTGGCATGAACTAAGAATTTTTCATTTGATTTGATTTTCCAGTCTCTGCTGAAGAAGGGTGCAAAATACATGGTTGTTCAAGGTTTACCACCAAGTGGATGCCTGCCATTAGCAATGTCTGTAGCCCCTGTCACCGACAGAGACGATATCGGCTGCGTGAGGAGCTCAAACAACCAAACCTACTATCACAATCTTGCTCTCAGGGCCTCATTGCAATCTTTAAGGAGACAGTTTCCTCAAGCTGTCATCGTATATGCTGATTACTGGAATGCGTATCAAACGGTCATGAAGAATCCCGGCAAGTACGGTTTCAGGGAGAGCTTCAAAGCCTGCTGCGGTGTCGGTGGACCGTACAACTTCAACGTGCTTGCTGTCTGTGGAATGTCTTCAGTCAGTTCCTGCAAAAAGCCATATGAATACATAAACTGGGATGGAGTTCACCTCACTGAAGCCATGTATAAAGTAGTTCATGACATGTTCGTTGAAGGTGGATTTACCCAGCCTCCTTTCGGTAGCTTGTTCGACAAGAAACGTCATGAGGGATAGGACGTTGAGAATGAGAATCAGTCTGGTGATGATTTTGTTAGCTTTTAACTTTGAGATCTCTGAACTTTAGCTATGGAACTAGCATGAACAGTAATGGCACAAGGCTTTCTTTCCATTTGAATGTCTTCTAATTCTTGGGTCTGTTCCTTTCTTTCTATCTTTACCGGGGAGAGGCTTACACACCCTTACCTAGAGTCCTCGCACCCTTATAAGCAATGCTTTGTTATCCTCTTCAATCGATGTAGGATCTCATAATCCACTTCCCTTGGGGGGTATCGTTCTCGACAAACACGACTCTCCACAATGATATGGTATTGTCCACTTTAAGCATAAACTCAAGATTTTCCCAAAATATCTCGTACCAATGGAGAGAGTATTCCTTGATTATAAACTCATGATCATTCCCTAAATTAGTCGATGTGGGACTTTCATCCAACACCTCTCCTTGAACAAAGTACGTCTCCCCTTAATCGAGGCTTAACTCCCTTTTTCTTTTTGAGTCTTAGTTATTTTTTATTATGCCTTCGAGAAGCCTAGACTCCTTTTTCTTTTGGAGTTCTTTATTCGACATTTGAGAATTCTATTGACATGACTAATTTTAGGGCATGACTTTGATACCATGTTAGATAAACACAACTCTCTATAATGGTAGCATAGAAATATGTCTGGCTTTAATATTATTTGTAACACCTCAAGCCCAATGCTAGTAGATATTGTTTGCTTAGCTTGTTATGCATTGTCGTCAATCTTATGGTTTTAAAACGCGTCTACAAGAGAGAGGCTTTCACACCCTTGTCTAAGGTCCTCACACCCTATAAGGAATGCTTCGTTACCCTCTCCAACAATGTGAGATTTCACAAACACAACACATGTAAAATAAATTTGAATATTTGAACATATGATGATCTTAAGAAAATAAATAGTGTTTTTAAACGATTAATTGTATTAATAGTGACAATCGAATCTTAAACCTACGAGGGTAAGTTATGTCCATATTGACGTGAAAATTTAATGAAAAATAATGAGTTTTTTTTTTAGCAATTACGACAATAAATTTTTCTGCTAAAATATAAATTTAATCTCTAAATTCTTATAATTGTATTAACCTTTTTCATTTTAAAAATATTTAATTGGTATTTTCCAAAACTTTGAAATATTATACAGACATTGGGCTCGGCCCAAACGATATATCGAGATTGGGCTCGGCCCAATATATTATCGAACCTTGGGCTCGGCTCAAAAGCCCAGTCCATATATTCATCTCAATTGATTTTGTTTTCACCTGCTCCGGTTAAACTTCTCGACTTGTTGGCTCCCGTCGCGGAACCCGCCAAGTATAAAACGGAGCCCCCACAGCGGAGCCGGCATAGGCACTGATTTTAGAGAGCAAGAACAGAGCCCTGTGATTCTGGGAATTCAGCATTCTCCACCAAAAGTTCTCACCTTTTCCAACTTTTTCTTTTTCTGTTCTTTTTTCCCCTTTACGTTGACTGTTGATACGAGTTCAGATTCTGATCACGTCATTGTTCTTCGGTTCATTGTTTTTCGTCGGAATTTCTTTAGCTTCATCTGTTTATGTGCTGAAATTTATATGCATGGCGCATTGGCTTAATAGAAGTTCATGTTGGATGATGAAAGTCCCACATTGGTTAATTTAGGGAATGGTCATGGGTTTATAATCTAAGAATACACTCTTCATTCGTGTGAGGCCTTTTGGGAAGCCCAAAGCAAAGCCATGAGAGCTTATGCTCAAAGTGGACAATATCATACCATTGTGGAGAGTCATGTTCGTCTAACCGTTCGAAAATCAATAATGCTGAGTTTTTTGTTTCGTAATTGGGAATAGTGCGGTTCTTCGAGTAAATGAGTGGGAATTTTTTGTTCTTCGAGATGGCTGTGGAATTTTTTGTTACTTTTCTCAGTTCATTCCTACTGAAATAGCCTTAGAAATTGATGAAGCTTTAACGTTTTGCGTTTTTCCTTGTTTTTTGGAATCCCATGTTCAATTCACAGTTTGATGGAGAGGGAAAGAAGTTATGATTTTCATATTTGTTCTGATTTGAAAAATGTTTATGTATTTGAAGGATCATTCAAAGGACTGATCGACGCTTCAAATGAAAGCTTTCTATTTGTTTATGAGGATGATCTTGATGGACATCTCAGTAATAGCCCTTTGAAGTTGAAGCCACTTCAAAGTAATGCATTGTGGATTTGAATATTATGTAAATTGCTCTGAAAATGGAGATTTAGATGATGAACTTTTCAAATAAGCTATCTAATTACATCATTGAATGCATCTTTCAAATATAGGAAGCCCCAATTCACCCATTAGAGCACCATTTTTAGCATCATTTCTTACTTCTCTGTGGTTTTCTTTGCTTTTCTTATTCTTCCATTATGTGGCAGATCTTTTTCATCTTTGCGTTTTAGTAGATAGCAGCAAGAGATGAGCAGCGAGGTAGAAGCCTGTTCAGAATGCACCAAAAGATGCTTACATCTTCATAGAAAGACAAATAGTTTATCATCTGTAACTTCGTTCTTCAAAGTTATGTTTGGCGATCGCTTTTCCGAAGTTTTGGTATGTTCTTCTTCGTTTTTGTTAATATCTCCAAAATTTTGTTTCCAGCCTTCTAAATTTTTGTATTTGTTCATGTTGTAGACAAGCTTGATGTTTTTTTTATCCAAAATGGTAACTTGTTAATTGTTTGTGGCGTTCTCCATTCGTGTTTTCGAATATATTTAAGGTGTTGTAGTTCTTATAACTATTATCTACTGGATGCCACCCCTCGAGATCTTTCCATTTGGCGAATCTCCATGTAACTATATCTCTATTGTTGGTGTGCCTACGAGTTCATCTTGTTACCTTGATACTTGCACTCTTTGTCATTGATGCCGTGTTTCGTTATTTTTCAGTACTTCCCACCCGTGTTTGCTGCTACAGTGTCGAGGTTGGTTAATAAAAAAGTTGTTCTTGAGGATTCTCTTGGGCAACAATGGAAGGTAACAGTTTCCAATTGTGAAGGATCTCTTGCGTTTCGAGAAGGGTGGAGTGCGTTTTCATCAGAGCATAGCTTAGAAATTGGGGATTTTTTGACCTTCAATCACATCATGGACTTGCACTTCAATGTTACTATCTACACGAAAACTGGTTGCGAAAAGGAGTTTGCTAACAAAAGCAATATGAGGAAAAGAACTAGAAGTACTTGTCCTGTACTTGAGATAACTAATGAAGGTTTGACCCATCCACAAGCTTCCTGTCCCTCTGTGGGTTCTGGATCCAATGTGGCACTGTCTCAAGATAAATGTTGCATGACTTGTTATCGAGACTTGAATTTGAACCTGAACCAGGACAAAAGGCCAAAGTACCAGAGCAGTAATGAACGGAACGGATCTCTCTGTAAAGCAGACATTGTTGATTATTCGTACGCTTTCATCAACCAGAACAAGGACATAGGACTGGAGGAAAACAGAACTCCCTTATTCGACTTGTTTTCCATGGAAATGCAGACGACTAATTTCTGCGTCAATGAGATTACCACGAAGAAAGTTGCTGGGGATGAGTTAAATCCTAACCGTGCTTCCACGTCATCAAACGCTGCAATTGATGTCAGCCGAATTAACAATGCTCGAGTTGATATAAAAGGAGATAAAAGTCAGTGTTTTGAGGAGGCTGACATAAAGAGGAGCGTCTCTGGTAACAATCCTTGCCACGATAAGACTATCGAGGTTCCTTTTATTACGTCTGCAACTAATTCTGATAGAAATGTGAAGCATTTTTGTGACATGCCATTAAAAAGTGTAAAAGACTGCCAGAATATACCAGCAGTATTCGACACGCCCTCAAGTGAGTACTAAAGTGATACGATACAGTTCTGTTATGAGTTATATTCAAGATAACTAATTATGTTTGAAAAATATTTCAGCAATTACAAGACATGATCATCAGGAGTCTAATAATAAACATACTTTTCCCGTCGACCATTCCCATGGCATGAAACTCGAGTATCCTCCAATTTCCCTGGAGGTTAAAAAGTGTCCGCACGGTTTGCTCTCTATTCTGGTTACTCTATATGGCTGTATAATTGTCAATTCGTTCTCGTCTATAGATAAGAAACGTCATTTCTTGCCCTCAGGAATCTGTAAAACGTTGTAATGTTATATTACTGTGAATGCTGTATTCGAACAGGGGACGTCAAAAAGACCACTAAAACAGAAATGAACAACTATGAAGACTTCATTGGACAAATATGTAATTCAACTTAATTTATCACATCATTTCTTTGCAGTCTGTGGATTCAGCGATGTCTAAATGGGATTTGTTTTGGTTACAGCGGTGTCAAAAGTGAAGGAGGAGCTCCTCGAAAAGTCTAACCAAAGTGGTAGAGATGGTACTAACAGTAATGCAGATTTGATAGCAACTCGAGCCCACGTCTCCTGCATAGTGGCTGAAGATACTCTGTCTTTTCTGGTATGCTACTGCCAACTCTTGCTTTGTTAAGTATGAAGTTCATTCATATTAGTTCATTAAAGGTCATGCCATGTTTTAGTTTATGGTTCTCATAAAAAGTTGATATTGATATAGGACTTATAAGGGTTTTGGTTGATCGGTAATCTGGATCGTGTTTTAATGTTTTTAGGTTCATTGTTTGGTTGATCGGTAATCTGGATCGTGTTTTAATGTTTTTAGGTTCATTGTTTGGTTGATCGGTAATCTGGATCGTGTTTTAATGTTTTTAGGTTCATTGTTTGGTTGATCGAAAATCTGGATCGTGTTTTAATGTTTCTAGGTTCATTGAGTTTAACGAAGATTTATGCTTCTAGAAACTATTTTCGGATTTAGTGATCCAAAATAGTAGAAATTCGAGAAACAAGTATAGTATTTCATGTTATAAAGTCAAACTAAATAAGCATAATAATACGTACCTAGACATATGCGCTCAGGCTTGTACATATTTATGTGTGATATCGTGTGATGCCCGAGAGTACGAATCTCATACGAACGATGCACTGATATCATCACGATCATTGCTTCGTGTCTGTACCCAAATAAGTTATGAGCTAATTACTGAATGGACTGCTTTCCCTTTCTCACTTTATTTCGATGCCCATAAAGGAACTACCGACGAGTTTGCAGTCCCCGTGTTCGAGAGGCCGAAAAAATCCAGAGAAGAGAAGGTTAGTGTTTCTTCGGGATCCGAGGAAGAGACTGTGGCCGATTCTTTACCACGAGATGCCGAATGTTCATGTTCTAACAAGTGGGTGGGAAGCTTTTTGTTCTGCAAATAAAATTCAATCAGGGGACGAGTGTTTATTTCACGTCGAGGACGAGCTTGAACGCATATATGAAGTACGCGTTCGGAAATGTAAAAATTAGTTGTATTATATGTTTCTTAATCTCTTCTATGTTTTGGTTTGCTGCTCAAATCTTATGGTAAACAGATCATAAGTCTAAGCAATGGTGGAAACTGTTGCAGTGTAAAGTTTATGTTAATTAACGTATTTGTTGGCTCTAAAACTTTCACCTCCTAGTTTTAGAACTCTTTGTTTGAAGTTCCTCGGCAGCATGATCATGGTTGTATTTGGATGTCCTTGTCATGCTTGTCTAAACATGTTGTCTATGGTTTCATACCCGTTTGCATTTTTTATTTTAGTGTCATGGTCATATTTGTCCAAGACGTGTTGTCTATGGTTGTATATCGGATGTTCTGGTCATGCTTGTCTAGACATGTTATCTATGGTTGCATGCTCGTTCCAAACCTTTTTTACTTTAGTGTCATGGTCATGTTTGTCCAAGGCGTATTGCCTGTGGCTGCATGTCGGATGTCTGGCTCATGCTTGTCTAGACATGTTGTCTATAGTTGCATGCTCATTCTAATTTTTTTTTTTTTTTTTTTTTTTTTTTTTTTTTTTTTTTTTTTTTTTTTTTTTTTTTTTTTTTTTTTTTTTTTTTTTTTTTTTTTTTTTACTTTAGTGTCATGATTATACATGTCCAAGACATGTTGCCCGTGGTTGCATGTCAGAGGCTTTCAGGTTAGGTAGCCTTTTAGTGTTCTTGTTGTATTAATATGGGTTGTATCATCAGTCACCAAAATCATGTCTACACTCGTCATGGCTAAAAATGCCCCCAAAATGCACTATAGGAGGATGCAACTAGTTGTTCATTCTTCCTACCCAGGTTCTATGTTATGAAAGATGTGGTTGTTGTTCGTTTACTTTTAGCTTATAACATTTGTTTTTTTCAAAATATTTTCTAAAGTAATACATCAATCACATTTCTCTAAGAACATTCCTCTCAAATGTGACCCGATACTTGAGCATACGTCAATTTGTCTGCGAAGTCTAAATCTCACACAGCTGATTTGCTTGCTTGGTTAGAACAAGTGTCGCACAATCAATGTCTCATTGCCGCAAGAGTGCAACGGGACAGTTATGACACAAGCTGCCACAAGTGCACAATTAATATCCCGCAAGAGTGCACTTGTGACACGAGCTCCACAAAGCTCAATTTCTCATAAATAGACATATTAGCAAATTCCCCAGTGTATGGGCTGGGCTCCACTCAATCGGCCCATAACTGGCCCAACCAGCCCATTAGCAAAAGGACCTACGCTTCACCTGCCCGACAGGGCTCGGCCGGCAGTCCGCAGAGGAAGTGGAAGACGGGAACACCGGTGAGTCGCCATGGACGCCGCTACAACATCTCTCACGGAGTTCTTCTCCTTCCTCTCCATCTCGAAACCGTCCACTCCACACCGTGAGTCAGTCTCTTTAAATTTTCAGTCTCTTACGAAAGCAAAACTGGCACGGTTGGCTGCCGCCAGGACCAGGAGCTCTGTTACGTCTTCTTCCCCAGAATCTACCTCTCCCATCTTAAGCGTAAGGAATTACAATGTTTTGATCACTGTGGACAATAACGATCCTGAAGAGAAGCTAGTGAATCAGTTCAGGAGACAGGTCTTGAGAGCTGGAATCTTGCAGGAGTGTAAGAGGAGAAGATTTTTTGAGAACAGCCAGGCGAAGAGAAAGAGGAAAGCCAGAGAATCCGCAAAAAGGAATCGCAAGAGGTTAGTTATCTCGTTTCTAAAGCAAAACTTGATGAGTTGAAATGGCTGCATGTGGATTTTTTGTGATTTAGTTCTTTTGAATTGATTAGATTCTTCATTATGGTGGAATCGTCTGTTTTCTTTCACTTTCTGGGTAGTCAAACAGTGCATTTCGATATCAACTTCTTGAATAGGTTCCTCTTCCAAAAATTCAATCCAAACAGTGGTGCCCTTGAAGCACCAATACCACCATTGTTCTCCTTGGTTTCCTGTTCTCCTCTTCCTTCTGTGATCTTCCATAACATTGTCAAAAAATCGGAAGCCGCCTTAGATCGATCTATATCAATTCAAAGAATTAGCTTATTAAACCTTCTTCTGTTTTAGTGGGAAAGGAAAACAGAGGATAGGGAGGATTTTTCAACAGGAGGATGAAGTTCAAGTAATTGAGCTTGAGTAGCTTAGCTTGCTATAAACTAAAGCAATGATGAATCGTTGAGCAAATGCTTTTTCAGAAAAGTTGTTATCAAACAGGAAAATAGTTGGATGCTGCTTAGTTACAAGGTGATCGTGATTAGTATTAAGATCTAAGAAGGTCACTTATATGGTTGATTTCCATAATCCATCTTTCTTAGTTCAACTTTTGTATTCAAAATAAGAATCTTTTCAGCTCTGGGTTGAATTGCCTAAATAATCTTTGATACCATGAAGAACACTTTCTATGATTTCTGCGAAATCAGTTGAGGCATGTTTCATAATGATATCATTTTTAGTTTTTTTTGGTTTTGAAATTTATGTTTCTTTACTATGTTTTTCACCTTGTTTTTGAATCATTAAATTCCAGAAACAATGACAAAGTTCTAAAACTAATTTTTTTTAATTTTGAAAACATGGCTGGGTTATTTTTGATATTGTGTTCATGGTCCACGCTACTAATTCCAAACTTTAAGGCCAACTTTGAGAGAGAACAAGTTCTCAACCCAAAAGTTTAGACGATATCTCCAAACCTTCCAAACTAGTTTCCATGGATGGGGAATGGTAAAATGAATATTGCTCATTCAATTCACTTCCCATTGCAGACCAAAACTTTGTCTTGCCACTTTGAATCCTTTTGTGTAATCCTAAAACAACTAGGTTTCTTTTTCGTATTTTATTTACTTGGACTTGTTGTTATTGTTTTTTTTTTTTTGGTTATATGAAGTTTTCACTCCTACCATTGCATATTCGTTAGGACAATAACCTATGGGAATGATTGATTTCGAATCATATGACTCTTCTTCTTCCTTTCCTTTCTTAGTTCAATCTTGAATGGAACCGTGAGATCTCACATCGGTTGGAGAGGAAACGAAGCATTTCTTATAAAGGTGTGGAAACCTCTCCTTAGTAGACGCATTTTAAAACCTTGAGGGGAAGTCCTGAAGTGAAATCTCAAAGAGGACAATATCTACTAACGGTAGGCTTGAAATCTTACAAATGTTAACAGAGCCAAACACTGGACAATGTTCTAGCAAGGACGTTGGGTCCCTAAGGGGATGGATTGTGAGATCCCACGTCAGTTGGAGAGGGAAACGAAGCATTTTTTATAAAGGTGTGGAAATTTCTCCCTAGTAGACGCGTTTGAAAACCTTGAGGGGAAGCCTAAAACAGAAAATCCAAAGAGGACAATATCTACTAGAGGTAAACTTCAGCTATTAGAGGAACCTTTTTTTTAGGATTGTTTAAGTCTCTTGTTGTATGTAGTCGTAGTCTCTGCAATTCAATACCGATAGATACATAGAAATATATATTTGCCCCATGGTTGTAAAGTAATGTAGATGTGGTTCCCTAATTGCAGAAGGGTTTGGAAGCCTGAATCAAGAGCTGAGGAGCAGCTAAAACAGGAAACCACTCGGAGGAAGGATATGAATGAGGAAGAGGACAACTGGGACTTTTACCAAGTAGACCTTCCTTACTGTTCATAGAAAAAGCTCACTGCCTTGAAAAGTTAGAAGCCATTATTTGTAATGTTTTGGCTTAGATCATCTTGCCTTCGACCATCCTTCTGTTGATGTTCTTCAATGAAGGCAGGTCTGTCTTCTGCTTTGAAGTTGAGCTGGTGTAGCAACACAGGACAAGATTGTTTTGTGGTCGAGTATCGGTTGGAAAGCTTTGGCCTTTGTCGAGACGACAAAGGCTTAGGCTTAGGTTCTGTTTGATAACGATTTTGTTTTTAACTATTCGTTACTATGATTTTCATCTCTCAAAAGAGCAGTCTTTTTAGCCAAATTTTGAAATAACAATAATAAAATTACTTTTCATAGTTTTTTAAATTTTGGTTTGGATTTTTAAAACGTTTTCAAAAAACAATATAACAAAATTAAAGAAATTTATGAGTGTAAGTAGTATTTATAAACCAAATGTTCAAAAATTAAAAGTAAAAATAAAATAAAATACCTTGAATTTTGTAATTTGTTTTAAAAGTATTCGTGCACAAAATTACAATATTACTCATGGCTTTTCATAAAATTTTTGGACTGTGTTTGAGATACTTGATTAAATTTGAACATTTTTTCGACGGAAAATTCTCAACAAGTTGACTCATAAGAATGTTGGTGGAAACTTTAAAAGAGTACTCGGCTGATAATGTAATTCCAATTGATATACTTTATAAATGCTTAATTGCATAAATACGAAAAAGATAAGCTAGAAAATGATGGATACTTATATGAAAAAAATCAAAGGTATCCTGACATCTTATGAGAGCTATACTCGGTGATTCTAATCTTTCTTGGAAAGCTCATACGAAAAGGTTGGATAATTACGAGCGGTAAATTCGGCTAAAATCATTCAATTCTTGTTTCCTCCCATATGAATCTGGCTTCTATCACTACCTCAATCTCCTTATAAATTTTTATTTTAATGACAGTTATAAAACGTTTACGAAATTTTGAAAGGACAGTGTGGATCTGCTCTATTGTAGCTTCTATCACTTCCTCAATCTCCCGATAAATTTCTACTTTAATGACAGCTATAAAACGTCTCCTGAAAGGACAATCTTCCGCCTTAACATTTCAACGAGCAAATTTTCTACTTTAGTAATAGTTATAAAACACACCCATCTACTTTTGATTTCTTAGGCTGGCCAATTCTGATTCAAATTGTTCCATTCATAGAACTGAATGAATAATATGTTCATGATTCACCGGACCAAGATTTAACAATGAAAGTGGATACTCTATAGTAGCATCATATGAACAAATGCATTTACATGTATATCAAACTAATTGGAACACCCAATCAATCCTTCAGGTACTATAGTCATGAAAGTAGTTGATCTACATTAAGAAGATGAGCCAATTATGAATGCTCCTCGTTTCCCTACAAATGCCTCCTCATTTCACAACAAATCCTCAATTCAAAACACACTAAACTATGTCAGGAATTAGTGAACTTTGCTATACAAATCTTATCATGGAGTAGATGACAAGCTGACTGTGCCAAGGACGAACACGACGCGTCGAGCACAAATTATAGACAGATATCATCTTCAAAATGGCCGAATGTCTTGAAGAATTGGCACACACCTTCTTCTGTAAACCAATTCTCTTTCATCTGCAAGCCACCAATTCACCTCGTTAATGGAATCTCTCCAGCATTTGGAAGAGTCATTGCTGAAGAAAATGTCATTTATGCATATCTTAATGTGGAGTACGTGGGATAAGAACACTCACGAAGTAAGGGTAGTCTTTGATGCTAAATTTTTCTGGAGCAGCTTTCATAAACAAATGAATGAAGTACAGAACAAATTTGCCACATTCTTCACCATTCTTCTGTTGTGGCACCTAGAAATTTCGTAGATCATGTAATTATTTACAGGTTAAAAGGAAGAATAGGATCAGAAGACAGTTCGAACACGACAATGTCGATTACCTTTGGCACCATGAGAGGAATATCGCCAATAACCTTCAAGTTTTTGCACCTGCCATCATCTTTGAAAATGTCCATAACAAATCTGAAAAGGGTTGCAAAAGCATATCAACTACTGAAAGAAACAATAATAGAGAAGAAATACATTAACGCCTAAAGACACACTTTCTAATCTCTGGTTCAAGCCGTCTTGGATTTGCCTCCTGAAGTGAATCAAGCAATAACATGCATGGTTTTCTAGTTTTTGACTCCGGCTTCTCATCAAAGTGGCAAAATATCAATAGGCTCCAGTGGCTCCTAATAACAATTAGTTCGTTATATGATACAACATAAACACGATAATACAAGACTTTAAGTCGTGAGTGGGGAAGAATCTACCAGCAAACAATAGGAACAAAGACATATTTCTTTGAAAATATTTGTTTGTTCTTAATCCATTTCAGGACCTTTCTTCTGTGTGCTGCTTTCAAGTACAAGCTAAACCATAAACAGTCAAGGTATGTAAACTGGATCTTCTTCTCTTCTGGAGAGCTCCTCCATAAATTCCTACACATCTCAATATTCCAATCAAATTACAGCAAATATTTCATAATGTTTAGCAAGTTTATAAGGAATGTTACTTACTGAAAACAATATTCAAAAGCTCTAGAGTCAAGCTTCCTTTTTTGACTAGGACTTGCACCACTGGTTTCAACTTCTGCTGTTGATTGCTTGCAACGACGAACAGGACTAGTGTCTGATGTCGAGGGGGGTACAAGCTGTACAGTTTCGATATTCTCAGATTCTTTTAATTTTTTCCTGTTGCCATGCCCTGAAAATTGATATAAAAGGTGAGTGACATTTTGTAACCTGAACCCAACATGTCTCTGTCAGTAAGCAAATCGGTTTGTTGCCAAAATTCATTTGGAGAGTGTCCAAAATAAACAGACAGAACTTATATGGAACAATGACCGGAAGTTATTATAATGATGGGAACTAGATGGCTATACTAAAAATCAACCTCTAAATCAACCTCTAGTACAACATCTGCTAGCAGTGGGCCAGTTACAAATGATATCAGAGCCGAATATCGGGTGGTGTGCCAGCGAAGACGCTGAGCCCCAAGAAATGATATATTTTCCTTGCTGAATTCAGCGAAACAATCTAACTTAAAATAAAATAAAATAAAAGGATTTGAACAGAGAAAGCTGAAACCATAGTAGGCCATAAAGGAACAAGAAGCAATAAAAGATGAAGAAGTCGTTTTCTCCATGAGAGAAAATAGAAATTGTTTGCCTTACAAGGAACTACTTTTCTATCCAACAGTATAAAATTACAAAAAAAATGTTGATGATTTTTTTATGGAGAAACAAAGATATTTCATTGACAAGTGAAATGACCACCGGTGGTGGTGTTAGGAATCACAGACCTCCACATCCACAATGGTATGATATTGTCCACTTTGAGCATAAACTCTCGTGACTTTACTTTTGGTTTTCCCAAAAGACCTCATACCATTGGAGATGTATTCCTTACTTATAAATCCATGATCATCCCCTTAATTAGCCAACGTGGAACTCCCTCCCAACAGTCCTGAATAGGCGGACTACAAGAAAGACTACCTGTTGTGAATTAAAGAATAGAGACTAAAATCCATGAATGGGTCAACATTTACATTGAAAGGTGTCAACATTTACAAAACTAAAGCATTCGATAAAACTAAATGAAGGATGAATGCTGTTCAAGGTCCCCCCATTTCTTTCACACAAAAGAAACCAAAAGAAGGAACGATTAAAGGCCAGCCATAAAAGTTTTATGCATCTCAAAAGAACGACCCACAAAAATCAGCGTTAAAAGATCAAAGATGGTTCCTGACAGAATCATACATCAGCCAAAACCTTCTAAAACAAATTTCCAACAATCAGTATAACTTCAATACAACTGTCATGAGGTTGAGATAACTATTAAGCCTGCTAAAAAAATTTGAATAAATAACCATAGTTATCCATCCCTATCATTAAGTTGTCTAGTATAAACAAAATCTTCAGATTGAAGCACTGAACCACGTCAAGAATTCATTGACGATGATGCATAAAACCAGTCAGAGACCTTCATCGTTCTCTGAAACAAGCCTTCCAAAATTCCTAATATGCAGAGAGTTTACCACAACATATATGACAAATGAGATAAAAGTTCCATCAAACAAGACAAACTCGTGTTGAAGTTAACATACATAGGCACCCTAGTATTTAATAAATTTTGGTTTATGAGCAGGCATGAAAGCAGGTAGTTCGAGATTCCGCCTCCTACTATGAATTACCACCACTGCGCAACTGGATAAAACAAACTAAATAGCTATAAATTTTCTTCTCCCAATAATCTTGGTAGCCGCTAGAGGCAAAGAAGAAACATACAACTAGCTAGTAAGAACAAGCTTTCCATCATCACCATCCCGAATCGCGAATAAGCAAAAATGTCAGCCAAAGTACAGGAAACGCTCTTCTAATCGCTAATTCAAACCACACGACAGTAAACTATCACCATCCAATCTCTCGACTGCAAAACGATGCCGATTGAAACTAAGCAAGAAGATGCTACTAAACGAACTGATGAAATTTTACCTGTGGTCGGCTGATCGAGGTCAATGAAGTTCACCGGTTGTGGACGCTTTCGTTTACCCATTGATTGCGAAACTTTCCAGAACTTCGCCGGATCCTTCTTCTCGGTCGAAGATGAAGAACGGTGGCCGCCGGGCTGGGCTAGATTAGGAGGCCGGGGGGATTCTGAATCGTTCCTGCGATGAACGAAACGACATATCGTAATTCGTTCTGAAATTTTTTAATGAACCCGACGGTATTGGTTAGTAACTTCAGAGCCGTTGGATTCATTAATCTTGTTTTGATTATATTGGATCACATTCTTTTCCCTCATTGATTTATATAATATAAATAATTAAGGAATATATATATATATATATATAAAAGCACGGTGGAAATCGAAAAGAGCATCCCGTAAGAAAGAGCCCCTGGCTCGAGAACAAAACAAGGGATTGAGCAGTGTGAAAAGCCACGGGAATACGCCTGAGGCTTTCATTTAAATTCCTAAATCTCAAGTCAAGGCGTTATACTGAAGCTTGATCGAGAATCTCAAAAGGGTTTTTTGAAGCTTACCCGTTAAAGCGGACCGTTAGGTTAGCAAGGTGCCTCCGTTTAGGGGCTTGAAGGACTTATGCGATGACAAAGGGTATTAGGGCCAAAGGTTTACCCAAACCATGGCTAGTGTCGTCGAAAAGGCTGGTAGCAGATTCGTAATCGTGTGGACGTTTTGTTACTCTGCTGAAGGGGCAAATTTCAACCGAGCGAGTTGCTTCTCCAAAGAAAGATGCACTGGTTAGGCGAACCAAAAGACGTAAGGAACGCTGAGCGTGAAGTACAATTAAATCCATTTTGAAGACGAGTTTCATGCATAATGGAGGGTTCCATTGTGATTCGACATGTTGATGAGCTTGAAACAGTCTCCAACCTACGTCGAAATGTCTAAAACCGAGGGGCAGAATAGGCCGCTAATAAATATAAAATATTAAAATTTTGTTTTAGTAATATTTTGTTTTTTAATAAAAAATAATTTAATTATTAAAAGTTTTAGAATTTTAATTATATTTTTGGATTCCAAAATTTATGAATATTTTTATTAATTTAGTTTATAATATATATATTAGAGAAATGGAAGTATTCCATTTCCTTCGTAATAAGCCACACCTCCGCCAATCTTGGTGCCTCCTCCTGCAAGAAACACATCACAGGGACGACCCCAAATTCTTCACTCGGCGAGCAATTTCTCAGTCGCCATGGAAGGACAGGAGGGAACTCAGCAGCCTCATCTCGTGCTTGCTCACAAGCTCTTCCTTCTAACTCATCCCGATGTTCAAGATATCGAGAAGGTCAATCTTAGGGAAGAAGTATTGGCCTCCGTTAAAGCTGATGGTAATTCGCGGATTGCTTCATACTCTCAATGAGTTTCATCGATTTCGCATTGTGATTTCTGTCTTACGAAATGTGGTTTTTTCTTCTCTGTAATTTGTATTGTGTAGACATGGTTCCTTTATACGAAGCCCTAACCGGAAATTCGCTATTGGATTTGGATCGTAGCGTGTTGGACTCGATGCGTGGGAAAAACGAGGAGGAGTTGAAGAAGCTGGACGAGAAGTGAGTTCTTTCATACTATTCTTGATCTGTTTTTGTAAGTGTTCTTTAGTATGAGGGTTATGCAGGAGAGTACATCTGAAGTTCTTTGAATATACGTGAATGTGCATTAAGTTGATTATCCTTGAATGGGCGTCGATTTACAGTTCCACTTCCTATCAGCACATCGACTTTCAACTTTAGTTAATTCGGAATTTCCATGGATGTGTGTATCTGTTCTATTTGAGGCGCAGTTCTACTTAACTTTTGGATATTATTCTACCATAACTGACCTTACATTGCTAAATTCCTAATTGATCAAAGGTTATGCTGCTGTTGAATGTTTTGATTCTGTATGGTGACTATCTGTGGTTCTTTTTGTATTATAGCAATTGAATATGACGAGTAGGGCACATATGAGTTCAAAATATTGTTGCACGCTGATGGGAACTAGATTTCAGATCTACTAAAATATATTGAATAACCAACAATACAAGTTGCTAAATGGTGATCTGGTAATTTGAAGAATTTTGAGAACTCCTTCGAGTCGATATCTATTGAAACTCTTGTTGAGTCCCTTCATTGCATTCCTCCTTTATTTAAACAACGCACTTAATGCATACCCACACTGGATATGGCTTTGGATTTGAATGGTTGATCTGTGCTTCTTGAGTTAAGGGCTACTATTTTTGTAGCTGTTTATGGTGCCATGCTGTTGTGTGTTGTTTTGTTTATAACTTTTAAGGAACAGCAATGTGTGTATATTTAGCCATTCATCAATCTTTTACTCAGGATTGCTGATGCTGAAGAAAACTTGGGTGAAAGTGAAGTTCGAGAAGCTCATTTAGCCAAATCACTTTTCTTCATTCGTATCGGTGATAAGGTTCGTTAAATCTTTCTCCCCAAGTATTGTAGGGCTGTTCTGCGACTTCCACCTAATGTTCTAGATTTTGACCTCAGGACAGAGCACTGGAGCAACTCAAGGTAACTGAGAGCAAAACAGTTGCAGTTGGACTTAAGATGGATTTGGTTTTCCATACTCTACAGCTTGGATTTTTCTACATGGATTTTGACCTCATCTCGAAAAGTATCGAAAAAGCTAAAAAGTAAGCCATGATATGAACATCGCTCGTAGTATTTCTTTTTAAAATCAACATTTGTGTGTTATTGGTTGTGATTACTTGCTCTGTTTGCCAGCTTGTTTGAAGAAGGAGGTGATTGGGAAAGAAAGAATCGTCTGAAGGTGTATGAAGGCTTGTACTGCATGTCCACTCGAAACTTCAAGAAAGCAGCCAACTTGTTTTTGGATTCCATCTCGACTTTCACTACATATGAGCTTTTTCCTTATGACACATTCATATTTTATACAGTTCTCACAAGCATTATATCTTTGGATAGAGTGTCTCTAAAGCAAAAGGTACTTGTGATTTCCATGAATTTGCATTCAGTTTTTTGTATCATGGATAGTTGGCACGTCTTCCCAATTGCACTATCGATTTTAATTCATTTACTGTAGGTCGTTGATGCCCCTGAGATATTGACGGTGATCGGAAAAGTCCCATACCTTTCTGACTTTTTGAACTCTTTGTATGACTGTCGATATAAATCATTTTTCTCAGCCTTCGGTAAGCAGGAAATTTTACACGATGCTTAAATCCGTGACTGATAATCTACTTGTTTCGGGTTTCACATTTCTTTATTTGATCTGTATCAATGCAGCTGGTCTGACCGAGCAAATAAAATTAGACCGTTATTTGCACCCGCACTTCAGGTACTACATGAGAGAGATCAGAACTGTTGTTTATTCCCAGTTTCTGGAGTCCTATAAGAGTGTCACAATCAAAGCAATGGCGAATGCATTTGGAGTATCTGTGGAATTTATTGATCTGTAAGTGGTCATGCATGGATACTAATTGTCTAAATGATGTCTAAATGATTGTTTTCTCTCGTAAAATGTGTTTTTCTGATGGTGCCAGGGAGTTGTCTCGTTTCATTGCTGCGGGAAAACTTCATTGCAAGATTGATAAAGTAGCAGGTGTTCTTGAAACTAATCGTCCTGATTCCAAGAATGCTCTGTACCAAGCTACCATCAAGCAAGGAGACTTCTTACTCAACCGTATCCAGAAGTTGTCTCGTGTCATTGATCTGTAATTACGATTTTAGTTTGCATCGATGAAATTTGAGCATCGGAACTTCGTGAAAATGGCGCTGTCGTTTCGTTCTGAACACATTGGCGCCTCAGGCATACTGTTGTCGTTATTACTTGATTTTGATATATCAATTGAATGTCTTGTTAGAAATTATATGAATGCTTTACACTGACCCTTTTCATGTCTTCTTGTTTTTCAAGAGTCATATTCGTTTTATCTTTCCTTCTTTTTATATCGACTTTTGAGCACGAAACCGGGATCAATATGTCTAGTTTGATGAGTTCAACAATGATAATAGATTGAGACTGTTGGATGATGAAAGTCCCCGTCGGCTAATTTAGGGAATGATCATGAATTTATAATGAATGAATACTCTATTCATTAGGATGAGGTCTTTTGGAGAAGTCCCAAGCAAAGCCATAAGAGCTTGTGTTAAAGTAGACAATATCATACTATTGTGGAGAGTCGTGTTCGTGACGAGACTTCATTGATAGGGATCTCCAAAACCATGATGTCTCGGGTCTATACTTGGGTTGGGTCTTGTTTAGGTTTTATAAGTGTACATGGGGTTGGATTGGAAAAATATTTTGAACCAATCCAAAATTTTGGGTGGTTGGATCGGTGACTCAAGCAATCCACAATACAGTTTGATTCAATCCTCTGTTTTTAGGTTAGGTTGAATTAGGTTATCGAGTTTTTTAAAATTATTTTTACTTATTTATCGTACATGTTAAACATGCACAAGTTATAACACATTACTAACATTAGTTACAAATGTTAAATATTCTTAATTTTCATAATAATATTAAAAATAGGGTTCAATTGTAACCTTATTTTCAAGTTGGTCCAAGAAAATGTCAACCTACAACCAGCTCGGGTTGGTTCATTTAAAATGTAAGAATCATGTTAAATTAATTAATTAATTAAATTGTTTTGGTGTTTGTAAATCAATTGCTTCAAAATAATATAAAATATTTCAACTTTATAACGAAGCGGCCCATATTAATAAAGCCCATGTAGGCCCAAACTGAACCGGACAAAGATTGCAGTGTAAGCTTCCCGCCCTTTCTCGATTCATTTACGCGCCACTGAAATCTGAATTCCGCAGTTTTCATTTCTTCTTCTAGAGTAAGCTGTTGAGACATTCGTGTCTGTGCGGCTCTGATTGAGAGTGAAACGATGTTTGGGAGGATCAGATCGCCTTCTTCACTAGACTCCTTGGAGCGGGCGACTTCTAAGATTCACAAGGATGATTGTCTCTCCATCTACGGTTCGTTCTCTATCTCAATCTTTGTTTTTAATATAATTATGGACTCACAAGTTAACTCTTTAGGAATCTGCCGATTTCTGTTTTTTTTTTTTTTTTTTTTTTTTTTTTTTTTTTTTTTTTTTTTTTTTTTTTTTTTTTTTTTTTTTTTTTTTTTTTTTCTTTTCTGCTTTAAATATATGCGATAATAAGATAGGATTTTTTCCATTTCATGGAAATCAATTTTTGCTTGGATTGAAAAATGGTGTGTTCTCGCCCTTTGTTCTTTTGTTTTCTTTTGGTTTTTCAGTTTTTTAGCCACTTAGTAGACAGGAAACTAGGTTTGTAGTACTTTGGCGGAGAAAAGTTGAATTGGTTATGGAAAGTGTAGGGGATCTGGTTTTAACGATGTTTAGAATTAGAAACAATTAGACGTATTTAGTAACCAACAAGAACAAGGGATCAGATGCGAGAATTTGAATGGGGTATGGATATTATCTTGTTATTTAGAATGACTATAGAGAATGATTCTTGAATTTGATAGAGAATAAAAGAAGAACTCCGTTTGAATTATTGTTCGTTTCATTGTTTAAAACTTAAAAAGTGGATCTGCTGTACCGGATTATGTATTTGAGAGCTGTTATTTTCGGGGTCTTGGCTAATTTTTGATGAAGAGTTCATTCAGCTTATAGCGCCTGAGTTTCTGGAGAGATTATTAGTACGGCTTCTGTTGGCAAGTCTACATTGTTGTGTTGCTTTGCTTATCATAGGCAGATGATTTAAAATCCTAGTTAATCAATTAAAGTACTCTTATTTTTTGAAACCCACTTCTCTGACTAAACATTAACTTGTTCAAGTTGTAAATCTACAAACTTGCTACATCACAAACTTATGTTCTTGTAACATATCATTAATCAAATGTTAGCTATACATTATACTTTCCAATTGTAGGCTAATCTAGTGCACATTTCTCAAACTGCAAGTAGAATACCCTTACTCTTCTGAAATGTGAAGTACCGCGAGCATTCAACAGTGTCCTTGTTCAGATAATTGTATTGTTTGCCAAGCAGTTTTTTGATGCAAGCATATACATGATTCTTAAAGCTGAAAGATGTGAAAACGAGGAGACATTGCTGCTGCTAGCGATTGATATTGAGCCATCGACATTTTAATTTAATAGCTTTCAAAAAAAAAATAGTATTGCTGGTGGCTGACCAAGTTTGTTGTGGCTTCTTTTTCCAATGATCAAGTAAGCAATAGCATCGTTCTAGCAGTCTATGCTTTGGCATCCTTTACGAATGGAAGGAGAAATACTCTCTTTTAGAGTACAAAAGGAGAGTTCTAGTGTGAGATCTCACGTCGGTTGGAGAGGGAACGAAATATTTCTTTTATGGGTGTAAAAATCTCTCCTAGCATATGTGTTTTAAAACTTTGAGGAAAAGTTCGAAAGGAAAAATCCAAAGAGGATAATATCTGTTAGTAGTGGACTTGGGTTGTTACAACTAGTTGATACGATACCCGTTTTGTGCCTTATCATCACTCTAATAGCATATCTACCCATGCGTTTAGTTAATTAGATTGCCTTCTGGGCTCATAGAAATTCTATCACACAATTTGCTCCAGTTATTTTTTTATATTAGTATGTAAGTTTCCTTTCACAAATTAGTTAATCGGCTTTGAATGTGCAATTGTGCATTCTGTAGGATTAGATAAATAGTTGGAATTGTTGTTAAGTTATTAGTAATGGAAACTGTTTGGATGTGAAGGTCTCCCCTCATCGGGTCGCTCTGGCCAAAATCATTACTCTTTTTTCAATGACAACCATCGATGAATCAGGATAATTTTTTGTTGTCGTGACGCTTTGATTATTCTCTCCTCTCTCGATAGCTCAAAGTCAGCTTACAATGGTGGCGTGTTGGAAGTATCACTCCTCGAAAGTCTTTTAGGGATTACCAGTTTCAGAGGGACCTACGTTTTCTTTGTTTACTTCTATAAGCTTTCAATTTTTAGGCGTGAACCATACAGTTCACTCTCTCTTAGAATTAGACTGCAGTCCTGAATCTGAAGTTGGGGATAAACAGCCGATTGGTAGAAATAGTGTTTTAGTTTAGGAATTCAAATTTTTGGGTTCTAAGACTACATTTATGAGACCAAGAACTATTAGATAAATTCTTTACAGTTCTCATTTAGTTCCTTCTTGCAGAGACCACCCTAATGAAGCTTAAACTCGGTTCCCAACGAGAACCATGTCCACCAATTAAAGAGGATGCCTTAGAAGATGGAGAAACTGACTCTAACTCAAGTTCATCGTGTACTGAGGCAATGAACACACATGCATTTCTGAAGGATTCTCATCAGTTAGTCAATTCAACCAAAGAAGACTTGATGGCTGTAGATTCAGATTATTCGACGACTACTTCACCTGATTCTTCCGAGGATTGCCAATCAACAGAATATTCAACACAGCGTAGGATGAACAACTCCATTCTTTACCTATTCTCTAAGTTTAAAAAGTCTTCAGGAACTCCAAAAATCATGGAGGAAGCAGTGGCAACAGAAGACATCTGTTGCGTGGTTATGTCACCGAGTTCTAGTGCATCGCAGTTGACTGACAACAGCGAGCTGCATTCAGAGCAAGAACCCATTGATTTTTCAACTGCGTTATCAGAAAAGGTTCTGTAACTTGGTGGCGTGATCGAACATCATTGCAAATCCAGATTCAGTTACCAATGGCAATGAGTTCTCGTTCGTGTTTTACTTCAAACCTGCTGAAATCATGTTGTAATTTTAGTGTCCAAGATGCAGAATGTAAAGGAAATTGTATAATTCGCATATCCGAACATGAGCTTAATTATGAAGTGTTTAATTCAACTCTTGTGAAAATACCTTGCCGGAAACATTTGCAATTTCTATTAATACCCATCTTGAGTAGAGATTTCAATACCGTTTGTAAAATACTACTACACTTTGTTCTGGATTGAGATCGCTTGAGTTTCTTGGGGATGAAAACCTAGATATGGTCTTTGTTATCAATTTAGATTGCTTGAGTTTCTTGGGGATGAAAATCTAGATAGGGTCTTTGTTCTCGATTGAGATTGCTTGAGTTTTTTTTAGATGAAAACCTAGATAGGATGAAAGGGTATCGAGACTATGAAAACATAGAATGAAAGGGTATCGAGACTATGAAAACATAGATAGAATGAAAGGGTATCGAGACTATGAAAACATAGATAGAATGATAGGGTATCGAGACTATGAAAACATAGATAGAATGAAAGGGTATTGAGACCGTAGATAGGATGAGTGAGTATTTAGTAGCAATCATTCAATTTATTCATAAAATATCTAAATATAAAGCATTTTTTTTTAAATATATAGATATTTTTATTCTTAAAATTTCTAAATCATTTTTTTAAAATAAATATAGGATAGTTCATACAATTATTGGACCTAGGCTAGTAACAATATATTAACCTGTAGTGCTTTTTGGATTTTTTAATCTAGTGCGGATAGTCTAACTAATACACTCATACATTCCCCTAAAGAGGTATAAGGGAGTCTCCCATCTTTCTCATGCGGACTCAATGTCTCCCATTGAAACGAGTACCTTATCCTTGACCACCATTAGCACAACTTCGAAGATTTTTTTTTAGTCTACAACTATCGATACTATTCATATGCTTTCTTTGGTTGTTTAGCTACAACATCACTTGATTGAAGAAGCCATTATCGTCATATCTGCGGGCTTTATTACTACTTCACATCATCTTCATAATTCTCGATGAAAAAATTCTCAAATTCTTTTTTGCATAAACAGTTGTGTGAGGAAGATTACAGGGCTCTACTAATTCAAAGTTACAGACAAGAGTAAAATCACAATTCTTTCTGAGGACAATGTCACTCTATCAGCCATGGTGCAAGAGCTGGCTCCCACTCGACCACTTCGCCTTCTTTGAACCAGAGAGCTGCACAGACAAAGTTGAGGATTGAAGAAAATGCAAGATCTAATGGATTGTCAACAATTTTTAATCCATTTTAAAAGAATTGCTAATAAACTAATGGTGTAATTCTACATGAGCTCAACACTTGACTACTGCAGCATCCCTAAACTACAAAACTCGTCAACATAATCAGGATTTCATAAAACCTACAAAATTGTTTCTACTTCGAGTGGAACTTCGTCCTGAAACGCAGATGCTATTTTTCTTTTTTAAAAAGTCAGCATCCGTCCCAAGACAGCGAGACCCAGACTCTAGAAACATCGAGGATTTTCCTTCTTAAACTCGCTCAAAGAATGCGTATGCTACCTTTACACTTTGTACAAGCTTTTATTTCCAACCATCAACAATTCAAGTCTTTCTTGTAACCGATATTGTCTGTTTTGGCCTGTTACATATCACCCTCAGCCTCACAGTTTTAAAACGCGTCTAATAGGGAGAGGTTTGCACACCCTTATAAGGAATGATTCGTTCCCCTCTCCAACTGATGTGGGATCTCACATTTCTTTTTCTGCTTCTAAAAGAAACTGATCGTTAGCAGAAATAACCCTTATGATTCTTAAGCATGTTGTTTCCTCCTAGATTTCGTCCTAGATTTAACATTTACCGCGTTTGGTAAAAGACGACCAACTTCAAGATATATTTGGTGCAGTTTCTTAGCTTTGAAATAATGAGAACTCTACCAATACAATAACAAATCCATTGGCTATACTAATATGATCGAAAATGTACAGACAAATTAAGCCATTTTAAATCACATAACGTCTCTTACCTACTTCACGCTTGCCACTCTCGGGACTATCGCTCCCATGAATCACATTCCTGCCAATATGTTCAAATAAGTTATTTCTTTTAACCATAGGATTTAATCATTACACCAAGAATCAAGTTTTATAAGGCCAAACCTTCCTTTTTGAATAGAAAGATCCCCTCTAATTGTTCCTGGCTCGGCTTCGAGAGGATTTGTTACTCCGATTAACTTACGCGCTGATGCCACAACACCAACACCCTCCCATGCCTAAATAAACACGGTTAAAATTGACAGGAAGCTGAAACACAGCAGAATAGAGTCTTAGAGAAACATACCATACACACAACAGGACCTGATGTAATGTACTCAATTAAACCAGGAAAAAAGGACTTGCCCTTAAGATCCTTGTAGTGTTCCTGTAATGATACAAGATTAGTTGAATGGAAATTTTAATGAAAATCTCGAACAACCCATTAGTTTATGGAGTAATCGTCCAAAGTTGTTGAAAAGAAACAATTTAGTACTCTAAATACTTTCAATCTTTTGAGATTAATCCAGAAGGCTTCAGAAACGTAGTGGAAAATGAACGTGGTTCAAGAACAAACCTCAGCCAAATCCTTGGTGCATTGGAAGAGCTTCAAGCCAGTAAGCTTAAACCCTTTCTTCTCAAACCGTGAAATTATCTCTCCAACCTAAAACAAACTCAATTAAAGCAAGAACACTTCAGAATGTTCGTCAAGCAGTTCTCCACTATAATTACAGAGGAAATTGTGGAATTCTTAATTTTTTTAATGTTAAATTTGATATGATTCAACACAATTGAACTCGCATTCAAGAATGGAGACCTTAATGGCACAGAAACTGAACAATGAACATTCAAGTACTCTGAATTGAAAAGATCGACAGCAACCATAGAGAGAAAGCGAGGAAAAGAAAATTAAAGGAAACTCACAAGGCCACGTTGAACACCGTCAGGTTTCACCATAATGTAGGTCTGGTCGACTCGTTCCTGCACCTCAATGGACAAAATCGATTAATCTTCAAAACAGGCCAATCGAAAACCAGTTGAATCGAACGAAGAAGAGAAATGAAAGTGAACAAACCAGGGAGGCAACCAAATGAGGCAAGAAAATGAAGGATTCATTGTTAGTAGAAGCAGCACGAGAACGAATAGAAAGTTGGGGAAAGAGATTAGAATTCGAAGGGAATGCTGAAAGATGGTCGTGGCGGCGGCGATGGCGGCTCAGGTTGGCAGTCCGGGTAGGGGTAAAGCAGCAAACGGTTGTCGTCGGCGGCGGCCGGATAAGCGGCAGAGCTCCTCTTCCAAACACCGCCACAGCGTCCATTTCGCTCGCCCTCTCACTGAAAAATCCCAATCCGAAAAGGTCTGTGTCGAAGGAATTTATATCGGAGAACAATTAAATTAAAAGTTTTTGCGTTTTTTTAATATAATTTACAAATAAATAAATAAATTATTTCTTGCTTTTTGGTGTCTAAAATTTAAAATTAAAAAATGCAAAATATTTAACAAATAAATTAAAATTTTATAATTTATATTTTATTTCCTATAGGTTTGGAAGAGTTATTTGTTAATTTCCATTTAAAAAAAAATATTGCTGTTGTTTCCAACAATATTAATTTTTAATAATTACAAAATTATGGTAGAATATTAAATATAGCTATGTTCTTAGTTTTGAGTAATAATTGTAAATTCCATGAGTTTTACTATAATATATATAATTATTTTAAAAAATAAATTAATTATGAATATGAGAACATGTTTTTATTTTTAATTTATAATATATACTTCACATGTTAGCTAGATTCATTGATAATATTAATAAATAAAAAAAAAAATAGTAGTTTAAATTTTTACCGGTGTAACCTAAGAATCTCGACCAATCTAGACTACTCAAAGCAAGTCAATATCTACTAATGGTGAGTTCGGGCTGTTACAAATGCTATTAGAGTCAATCACTAGACAGTGCAAGACACTAGTCAGAGTAGGGGGAGACCCTCTCCATAGTAGATGTGTTTTAGAATCATGAGGCTGACGACGACGAATGTAATGGGATAAAGCGAACAATATCTATTAGCGATGGGTTTGGGCGATTACAAAGGATATTAGAGTTAGGTTTAGAGATTGTTATGAAAATTAAAAATATTTGAGTAAATATTTGATATTTGAATTTTATAAAATTTTAATTATTAACCTAATATTAAATAAGTAGATTAAATAATAATAATAATAATAAATAATATAACTCGATTAAAAAATAGACAAAATAAGAGTTAGGTTAGATTGTGAACTTGTTGTTCGAGTCGCCAATTTAACCCATCTAAAATTTCACAATCGCACTTTTAAAGACAGCGGACTAGCGATTGTGCGGCACTCACTTTCCAACGACAAGTGAGCTAAGCCAATTTGTTCTTGCGTCGCCTACGGCCAAGCGACGTATGATCGAGCCTCTAGCCTCGGTTTTGAAAGAAGATTTTAGAAAACGATGGTAGAGAGAGATTTTAGAAAGAGACGTTATATAAGCAAGAGAGAGATAACAACGGCTTAGCATATATAACGTTGGGTAGGGAGAAGTTGACAAACCCTCATCCTAAATAATATAAAATATGCAAAAAAAAAAAAAAAAAAAAAATATATATATATATATATATATATATATATTATATTATATTATATTAATGAAGCGAAATAATATAATATATCTTATATGATTATACTCCTAAATCAGAGAGAATCGGAATGGAAGCCCACGGCGGCGACTAATACTCTATACTCAGAATTAGCTACCAGAAGTTGCCTCCGACGACCGGCGGAGAGACAGAGAGAGAATAGCTAATCTTTCCTCTGCCGGTGCAGCGGCGGCGGCGTCTTCAACCGGAGACGGGGCTAGAAGCGGGGGAAAAAGCAATGCAAGCAAGCAAAAGAATGGCGGAAGAGGCGCCGTCGTCTCCAACATCGGAGCTACTTCTCTTGAACTTGGGATACTTAGCTTTGTTGAAGTGGATTTGCTTCGTCGCCGCTCCCGCCGCCGCTTGCGGCGTCTGAACTTGCTGCTGCTTCCTTCTGAGGGCTTCTACCACTTTAGAAACCATTTGATTTGTGCTGTGGGGAAGAT